CATTTATTAAAATCATGTGCACAAAGTTCACAGCCTCAATCCTGCTGTTCTCCTTGCACACATCCTGCAGCCACAAGGATCTCACACACCCTACCAGCCTCTCAACAGACAGGGAAACAGAGCCTAAATACACACACTCTAATCAGCACAACAAGACACAGGTGAGGGGGGAGGAGACAACACAGGACACCAGGTGCACACAATCATCAGCCACAGACAACATTATTTGCACCCTGATTACTCTCAACCGCTGTCATCCTTACACCAGCATAACTCCTCTCGGCGCTCTCGCAAACTCCCCTATCTTTCCAGGCGGAGCCGAGGACCCGACCAGCACCTGCCAGACAACATTACAATAAATACGGTTTAATCAGTTAAAAAATACTACCTCAATAATTAGTATGAATTATGTGCAAATATGTAATGTCAACTGTACTGTGCAATCACGCTAATAAAGTGCAATACCCGGCCTGAAGCCGTCAGTCCATAGTGACGAAGTTACCTTCGTCACATTTCCTTCCCCCTCTCCCCAGGAAGCACAGTGTCTTTACAGTCTCGGCTTCGGGACAACCAGTCAGCCACCCGGTTTCAACGCCACCTCCAGCGGGGCCAGTGAAGCCGTTGTCAACCATGTCGTGATGCCACTTATCCGGAAGCTGTTTTGTCCTGTTGTAATGCGTTGGTCTGCCTCTAGCACGACCCAGGTTCCGTCGACTCCTCGTGGGTCCGGGTCCGCCTCCTCGGCCTGCAAACGCTGCTCCTCCTGCTTGTCTCTCGTCTCCTGCTGCTTGTCTCTCGTCTCCTGCTGTCTCAACAGCCGTGGCCCCCTGGTCCGTTCCAGGCATAGCCACCCCCAGCCGTGGTTCCTCTCTTTGGTCCCTCTTCTTTCCTCTCGTAATTTTCACCTCCTTACTTGGTCAAATCCCACTTCTGACACCAATTGTGAGACTGACCATTGAGCGGCCCAGACCAAGCAAGGAGGCAGAGGCAGAACGTCCAAAAATATAACCCGACGTGGGCATTTATTAAAATAATGTGCACAAAGTTCACAGCCTCAATCCTGCTGTTCTCCTTGCACACATCCTGCAGCCACAAGGATCTCACACACCCTACCAGCCTCTCAACAGACAGGGAAACAGAGCCTAAATACACACACTCTAATCAGCACAACAAGACACAGGTGAGGGGGGAGGAGACAACACAGGACACCAGGTGCACACAATCATCAGCCACAGACATCAACATATTATTTGCACCCTGATTAATCTCAATCGCTGGAGAGCCGAGGACCCGACCAGCACCTGACAGACAACATTCCAATAAATACGGTTTAATCAGTTAAAAATATGCTACCTCAATAATTAGTATGAATTATGTGCAAATATGTGATGTCAACTGTACTGTGCAATCACGCTAATAAAGTGCAATATTATGTAATTATGTAATAATATGATTGTGTGTGTGTGTGTGTGTGTGTGTGTGTGTGTGTGTGTGTGTGTGTGTGTGTGTGTGTGTGTGGTGTGTGTGTGTGTGTGTGTGTGTGTGTGTGTGTGTGTGTGTGTGTGTGTGTGTGTGGTGTGTGTGTGTGTGTGTGTGTGTGTGTGTGTGTGTGTGTGTGTGTGTGTGTGTGTGTGTGTGTGTGTGTGTGTGTGTGTGTGTGTGTCGAGAAATAGAGAGGCTGAGAACTACTGTTCAGGGCACTGACTTATGTAAGTGTCTTAATGAGTCTCATGTGCCTGATGTTTTGGTCCTATACTTGGATCCCATGGCTCTTAGATCCAAAATCACAAGACTTAACTTTACAGCTGTTAATTATACCGTATTAACCCCTAGACAGAAAGCTCATCCAGCAGGGAAAAGATAAACTAATATTGGCTTTAAAATGTGGCCCTCCTGCTTTGAATCAGTGCTATTGATTAATAACATTACATTTAGCGGGCGCTTTTGTCCAAAGCAACTTAGGTTAAGTGCAATCAACCATGAGGGTACATATTCCGAACTGCAAAAATCCTGCATAAGTTTAAAATAAACTAAACAATTGTAACAGGTGGGTTTAAGTCTGCAGAGGAAGATGCTATTAGTGCTTAATGTTACGGACAGTGTTACAATTTCATCATTAATGTTAAAGAGAATCTGATCCCTCAAGTAAAAGCCCAAGAAGAGCTGAGATTCACAGAATAAACATGATTTGGGTTCATTAAGTTTTGGGTCTACCGTGCTGTGTCACTTCTGCTGCTACTCAGATGGAAATGATTACATAATGTACAGATGCTGCTCGCTCTGACAAGCGACATATCAGGGCCAAAGCAGCAGGCAGCCCAGGAGCGCAGGTGTGAGTCCCAAGGAGAAAGCAGCGGATTTGCATGAGCTGTTTTCCCTTTCAAACATCCTCTGCGGAGAGCAGACCAACCTGGCATGAGCTTCACCATATTCCTTTGCCTCCCAGTCAAATGAGGAAGAAACAGGAGGTTCATTAAGGAGACCACACACTCATAATCTTGTGTAACTTTGTCTGAAAGCTTGGCTCAGATTTGCATGATTATTCATTTTCTACAATCATCATGATGTCACATTTTGATCCAAATTACATATTGGTTGATGGCTAATATTCCTAGGAACTTGTCAAAGTTATGTAACATATCATTCTTTATACGCCACTCTGCGATACAAAGACACATGACTACAATGTGAAAAGGGTCAAAGGGCAAAATCTGACCCATTACAAAGAAGACTGCAATAAGAAAGTAACCCACATCATAAAGGTGAGAACACTTTTCATTCTTCATTATGACAAAGCAAAACTCTCCATCAGACAGTGTTGTCTATACAAATATGTATTTCAGTACAAGCTCAACAGTTGAATGATGCCCAGAAAGACCAGCTTGTTTTACTGGACCCTGTGTTTATTACGTTTTCTAAAACAGCTGTCTTGCTCACATCTCTGGTTCTCCAGGATAACCAGATATCACTTTTTTTTCCTTTCGACTGCCGAAAGCTATTTCACAGTTTCACCCTGGCTGCCAACTACCGGAGGGAGAAATGTTGCACTTCAGTGTAAAGAGCAGTGATAATGTGATAGGTACTAAGGCTCAGGGCAGTAAATGAAAAGCTGCTCCAGTGCAATCTAATGACGTACACAGATAATATATCAGAAAAACAGAAAATCTGTCAACTGGCCTTTACTGCACATATTGTGCCTGAGAGATGTAGCAGCTGTATTTATGCACACATGTAGTAGTTTCTCAGTAACTTGCCTCTCAAAAGGTTAAACTGAGGCATGAGGGGATCTTAACATTAACTTTGTTCAACACTCATACACACCCGGAGGTCAGTGAGTCCAGGTTTCCATTTTTCTGTGGTGAAGATGTCAAATGTGTCTTTCTTCCTCTGCCCCCTAATTTGTTACACAACCTTCACAATGCTTGCCTCATTTCCCACCAAACAGAACAGACTTCCAGTTTCTTAGTAAAAGTGCAAGATACAGTTGCAGACACATTAAAACTGACTTCCTCCTGTTTTAAGAAACGGCAGCAAAAGTAAATGTTGATACAGCAAACACTAGTGACTGTCGAGGAGCTAACCAGCTACACTGGGCTAACCCCAACAATAACAGCAAGAACATTTCATTTATTCAGAGTTTCAGTATGAAAGTCATATGAGCAACCCCCCTCATCAACGACCGCATTTAATTCCATGCTTTCAATTAAATATTGTCGTGAAATCTTGGTAAAATTACAAAATATAACTCCCTGACCTCTACCCAATAACACAAAACATCTAGTAGGGGAAAATAAGTTGTTAGGCGAAATACACCATTTAAAATGAATACAATGTTTCTTTAAGAAAATGATATCGCACCAGAAAGTGTTAACGCGCACCTGCAGTTTTTCACCTGTCGCAACACCTGCAGACATTCATAAACACCAAACGTAATAAGAATATGCTCTGTTGTTAAAATTGTATTTCGGTCATGATATGAAACCCACAGAAACCTTACCAGCCAATCGTAATCCTCTGCGTATGCCTGTAGAAATAATATTTCCCTCACAGGGTGCTGCAGTCCTCACAGAAAGACCTTTCCTCAAGCAGTCGATCCCCAGCAGATAAATAACTGCGGAAAAGGGAAATCTCCGCTGTCAGTGGTGTGTTTTCCCCACCAGCTGACTGTGCACAACTGAAGTCAGTCCTCCACTGAGCAGCAAGAAGCCCTGCGTGTCTTTATCCCTGCCTCTGTACATGCACCGTGCCATTCAGTGCACCACTGGATGAAAAGCGACTCGAGGATGCCCTCTGCAGGACCAAGGCACGTTTATTTATATAGAACCTTTCAACACAAGATAAAGATTCCAGATTGTATTGCCATATGCACAGTAGCAACAGTGTAGATTTGGCATTGAAGAACTTGAGTCCCAGGCTAGTCCAACAATTCAATATAAATACGGTATATAACAAAATACAACCAAGGCAATTTTTTTAGCAAAATATTTCATACACAAATGTCGCTTTGTCAAAATGCCCCCAGTATTTATTGATTTTGTTGATGAGATGACATTATACAAAACATTTAATAAATTGTGCAAAAGTAAAAAAGCCCAACAATTCTACACATTTCTAAACTATTTAATTCCTGAGTGACCACTTGTGTTTTGTTCTTTTCTGTTTTATATTCATAATGCCCTCAGTTTCTCAATTAATGTAAAATGTATGTTATATTTTATGCGCCTTTTCCTGATTGTATTTAAATAATAGTTAAATTAAAAAATTTAAAAACACAGGGCAATTCAAAGTGCTTAGGTGAGAGAGAAACTGCCTTTCAAATGTTGCATTTTTATAGGGGACGGCAGAGAGCCAGCTTGCAACCGTTGAGCCATTTCACTACATATTTTCCTCAGCCCTGACTTACAGTACATGGACAATTTGGTGAGTTGATCATCCTGAGAGTTAACTCTGACAAATAATAATAATAATAATCTGCACAAAATCAATAGGTTTCGTCATACTTCATAAGACGCCACTGCAGTAGTTTAAGTGCCAAGGTGATGTTGAGGTAGAGAGCTGACATCCTCCAATGGGTCACCACGGGTATCCCTGAAGGGGTCAAAAGTCAGAATGAGTATATTTAATCTACATTTGCACACACTGTGTTGTATGCTGACTTTTTATTATAATGTTCACTAATCTAATTTGTAGGGGGAATTATTCCCTAGGGTCCCTGAGATAAAAACATATAAAACATGAGGCAACAGGCATCATAAAAGCTTTGCATTTGAATATGGGGATTTTGTGAATAACACAAATATATTTCAGTTACCTTGTTAGTTGATTCCTCTCTGTGTTTCTTCTTCGTACTAAATATGCAATCAGAAATGAAACTCCTAGTAGTAGTAGAACTGGACCAACTGTGGAATCAAAAGATGGATCTTCAGGGATATTGTATCAATAAACAATGAATGCAACACATCTTAACACTTTGATCTCACCTGATTCTCAGCTTTTCAAAGAGAAATATTTAAGCCGTGAGCAAAAGAACAAAGACAGAAAAAAGGAGAGTGGAAGCAAGTAAGATTAGTTGCATTATTTGTTCTTAATTACAAATCATGGCGTACATGGGAAATGTGAAAAGTGAACAATATTTTAATGACTGGCTGCTGTTAGAAGTTTCTTGTGCAGAAGCAGAAATAACAAGTTGTTAACAAATACATTATTCAGATTAACTAGTGTTCAGAATTTACCAACTCCAATGTGTCCACGTTTTGCAGGATCGTGTAGCGAAGCCTCTGTGGGGACTGGTGAGGGTGTAGTAGCTACACCATCACTCTTTCCTAGTCGAGGAAAAACTCCAGTCAAAGGTCAATAAATAATGTGAGTAACATGGTATAAAGAGAATCTGAAGGAAATAACTTACCATTGAAAAAAGTGCAAATGTCGCTGTGGTCTAGTTGAGAAAACAGAAAAATATTACCAAGTGTTATTAGATCAGGACTTCAGAAAATGTATTGTGTGCAAAGATGTTCATTCAAAAATTGTACAATTTGATTCGAACGGAAACATTTGAATGAGAATACATATAAATAAAGAATCTTGTTTGGCCATTTTGCGCTGATTTTTGTAAAGAGTGCAATGATCAAAGGTCAGTAAAAAGAAGAGAGGAGAAAGATTCAAAAGCTAAAATGTAAGTGGAGGAATCAAGGGCTGTCAAACAACTGCCTCCTCAGCTGAAGTGATGAGTCCTTAAATGCATCAATGAGAGGACAGCAGCATATAATCCCACTTATTGATTGGTCAAATTTAAATAAGAATACATGTTAATAAAAGTCGGCAGCATTGACTTTTGCATGACTAACTTATTTCAAGATAATCATAATATAAGCCTATGGGCTTTAGAGAGTAAGTGTAAATACCGTGGCAATTTTCAGTCTTAATATGTCTGCTTATCACTTCAAAATCACATCGACGGCTTGTATTGGTGAAAACGAATGCCCGACCGTCATGCTGGCAGACAGTTTGGGGCGGTGGAGGTCCTGCAGGCCTACAATCTGCAATGTGGTCAAATGACACCGGCTCGTCGTTACAAAAAATGGCAGTCACGTTTTTGGCACATCCTGGGTCCATGCAGAAAAACAGTTTTGCCAAACTGTTTCCACCTGTAACATCATAAAGTAGGAATTATTTAACATACACTTTCCTTTTATCATATAAGAAGGTGCACAATAGAAGAATACCTTGACTTGCTGTGGCTGGAAAGCACTGCATGAGTCCAGCTGCCAAAATCAGCATAAAGATGACCCGCAGCTCTGTCAAGAATTAAATAAGAAATAACTGACAAAAAAGGTTGAAGTTGGACACAGTTTAAAGTTGGTACATTGTCAGAGACCTACCTTTCATGTTGGAGATCATCTGGTCCAATGTTGATCACCAATTGAATGTTCAGTTCACTTCCTGTTGGAGATATACAGTAGTTTCCCATCAGAGACATGATTCATACAGCATTCCTAACTATTATCTTCCCTGACACCCTCCTGTCGTTACCACCCAGTCAGAACTAATTTCTTCCATTTTCTGATTGACCTTCATTAGATAAACTATCCACATCACATCACCTCACCTCTCAGCTCATTCAATTGTATCTTTCACACCTCACTCCAACACATTTTCTTTTGGTATTTTCTCAAATTACCTTGAAGATCATTACAGCTTCCCAAATCCCTGCTACTTATGTTTTCTCCTTACTCCCCAGCAGTGATTCACTTGCACTTGAACACAACATTGCATTCTCTCTTAATACACCCCTGTAACAGTGGCATTTGTGGAAGTAACTCTTGTTTCTTCCACAAAGGCTTGTGAAATGACTTCTTTGAGACATTTAAAAACATAAGGGAATAATTGCATTTCTATCAGAAGGGAAATAGTTAGTTATTAATGATAGCCTACTGTAGTAAATTAATATCGATGTATCTGAATGTATAAAAATGTTGCACTTCTGCTCTAATGTTTCCATTATAGTCGGCATGTGCGCGCCTAGCAAGAATGAATGCAATGTAGGCTACATCTGAATGGACATGTATAACCTGTATTATTATTATTATAACCTGAAGGTTAAACATTGAAGTCACAGGTTATGAGATGTGTTACGATTTAATATATCCACAATGATCTTTGAACAAACTTTACTGTACAGTTACACTCATCAAGCCCAAAACTCGAACGCACGATCCTTGTTGCTGCCGTACTTAGGTATTCGTAAATACGGAAACAAAAACAACGACAATGTTATTACGTTCGTTAAATAAAGGCAACGACACCTTTCTCCACCACCTCACTAACCTCAGCCTGTCAGCCATGATATTAAAAAAACACGTTATGCGGGAGGCGACGTGAAACCTCATCCCCGTTTCACAAACACACACTCAAATACACAAATACACACACCAAATACGCATATGGCCCCCCCACCGTTAAGGAAAACCGAACAAAGTTTTCAAACATCAGCACCATACATAGCCTACTTATTTTTCTCACAGTCGTGGTGTTACCGTCTCCTACTCCTACCGTGTCCGAGCTCGAGATGGTGACAGGGGCGGTCTGAGACTGCGGTCAACTCAGCCGTCTCTCACATTTGCTTTGTCAAATGAGCGCTTCACTTTTGAGTGCGCGATTCATTACGGTAATCGCCGAGAAGCGGTGCTGACGGTAGTACAAGAGCTGATGTTATATTTGATCAATCAATCAATGATATTTGATGAGGGATACAATGATTTTTAGCCATAAGTTCTTAATAAAATTGGTACTGTTGGACTCAGTACTTGTTAGACTACTACCACAAATACAATGAAGTACTTTTACTGTGTACTATTTGAGTAATACTTGGAGTACGACCACAAGTACAATCAAGTACTTTTATCGTGTACTATTTGAGTAAAACCCTATCAAACTCCCCTCCAGAGTACAATAATGCATGTTTTCTGCCATCTTTGATGAGAGATAAAATGATTTTTTTTTCGCCATAAGTTCTCAGTGAAAGTGAAACTGCTGGACAGAGTACTACTTGCCTCATAAATTAAGTTATACAGAGGCGCAGGAAGGTATTTTGAGTGGGGGTGCTAAGGTGCTGTCCGATGTGCTAATTACGCACGGGGGGGCACCGACCAAACCACACACACAGTGGCATAACAACGGACTCCAGCAGCTCATCCAGAATGCAGCGGCTCGTCTGGTCTTCAACCTTCCAAAATGTTCCCACACCACTCCGCTCCTCCGCTCACTTCACTGGCTTCCAGTAATTGCTAGAATCCACTTCAAAACAATGGTACCTGCGTACCATGCTGCGAATGGATCGGCCCTTCCTACATCCAGGACATGGTTAAACTGTACACCCCAGCGCGTGCACTCCGCTCTGCATCGGCCAAACGGCTCGCTGCACCAGCACTGCGAGGGGGACCCAAGTTCCCATCAGCAAAAACACGTGGGTTTGCTATCCTGGCTCCAAAATGGTGGAATGAGCTCTGCATTGAAATCAGGACAGCAGATAGCTTGCACATCTTCCGGCGCAGACTGAAAACTCATCTCTTTCGACTCCACTGCGAGCGATAGAATTACTAACAAATAATTACTAACAAAGCACTTATATACTAATAAAGGACTGGCTTATTGCCAGTTGAGTAGCACTTGAAATATTTGGCTCTATGAAACCTGATGACTTATATGATTCTGTTTTCTTCAAGGTTGTATCTTCCTGGTCGAATGTACTTATTGTAAGTCGCTTTGGATAAAAGCGTCAGCTAAATGCAATGTAATGTCCAGTGCACTATAGAGCACGCACAAAAGCGCGAGCACACACACACACACACCACAAAGATGTAAAATATTATTTGACCAACAATGTGGAATTTACAGTCATTGTTATAAGTAAGTTAAATCAATCAAATGTAGGTAAATTATGCTTGTTACTTGAATATGCTTTAAGAAAACAGCCTCCATCACAGTCACAGCTCTCAATAGGGTTTCATTTGTTTAGTTGGCAGCTCATTCCTTAAAACAGGAGCCTCAGATTGCTTAATAAGAGGAAATATGAAGGGTATATTTCAAGTTTGTTATACAAATAAGTTATTGGGCTATTTTCTTATCAACTTAGATTTGTTAGAAATTGTTTTAAACTTTAATTGACTGAATTTATTTGAAAAATTGGCTTATTAACACATGAATACTACGGAGTAATATATATTTATATATATATTACATTTAAGAAGTACAATATATGACAAGCACAAGTTTCATTTGTGGGCCATATTTCATTATACTTTTTGAATTTGATGAGGGCCAATTATAATCAATCAATCAATCAATCAATGTTTATTTATATAGCCCAATATCACAAATGTTACATTCGTCTCAGTGGACTTTACAGTTTGTACAAAATATCAGTATGACAATATGACACCCTCTGTCCTTAGACCCTCACATCGTACAAGGAAAAACTTCCAAAGAAAACCCACAGTTTAAAGGGAAAAATGGGAGAAACCTCAGGGAGAGCAACAGAGGAGGGATCCCTCTCCCAGGACGGACAGACGTGCAATAGATGCCGTGTGTAAATTGAAAAGATAATACATTTGCAACATAGGTAGTCCAAATGTTTGGAAATGCATGTGTGTATAATAGGAAAATGAATCCACGAGGATATCCATCCAGGACCTATGATCCAGGACCACAGCCACGACTCAAGATCCAGGGCTTGCGATCCAGGACAGAGGAGCGCAGGATCATCCATGACTCCGGATCCCGGCGTATATAGACACCAAAAAGAAAGACATTTGGGGAAGCTGGGTTAATCGGAACATGAGAGTACACAGGTATAGACAGAGAGAAGGAAGAAGTAAGATGTCCCCCGACAAACTAAGCCTATATCAGCAAAACTAGGGGCTGAATCTAATCAGCCCTAACTATAAGCTTTATCAAAAAGGAAGGTCTTAAGCGCACTCTTAAAAACGGATAGGGTGTCTGCCGCCCGAACACAAACTGGAAGCTGATTCCACAAATGTGGAGCTTGATAAGAAAAGGCTCTGAAGGCTCAGAATTATAAATGGCTCACGGCCGCATTGTACCCCCGGGCCGTAGTTTGGACACCCCTGTTGTAGTAAGTAACAGTAAAGGATCCAGAGTGTAGTCAAACTACTGCATTAAAAATGTTACTCAAGTCAAAGTAAAAAAGTATAAGCATCTAAATATACTTAAAGTACCAAAAGTAAAAGTACTCGTATATGCAAACTGGCCCATTTCAGAATAATATATTGTGTTTTGATTATAATTATTGTTTTTCAAACCTGGTAAAGGTGCAGGTTGTTTTAATGACTTTGTATGCTGCAGGGTAGCTTGTGAGTTTACTCCAGGTGTGACTAAAGTCTTTCTAAGTGTTGATTATATTTCACATTGCATCATCATTTAATCTGCAGCTGCTGAATCTATGAAACATAAATAATCATGACACATTTTATAGAAACAGTAAAGCCTTTATTGTCATAACTCCAAAAAAAATTGGTTTTTCTTATTGGTGTCTATATACGCCGGGATCCGGAGTCATGGATGATCCTGCGCTCCTCTGTCCTGGATCGCGAGCCCTGGATCTTGAGTCGTGGCTGTGGTCCTGGATCATAGGTCCTGGATGGATATCCTCGTGGATTCATTTTCCTATTATACACACATGCATTTCCAAACATTTGGACTACCTATGTTGCAAATGTATATCTTTTCAATTTACACACGGCATCTATTGCACGTCTGTCCGTCCTGGGAGAGGGATCCCTCCTCTGTTGCTCTCCCTGAGGTTTCTCCCATTTTTCCCTTTAAACTGTGGGTTTTCTTTGGAAGTTTTTCCTTGTACGATGTGAGGGTCTAAGGACAGAGGGTGTCATATTGTCATACTGATATTTTGTACAAACTGTAAAGTCCACTGAGACGAATGTAACATTTGTGATATTGGGCTATATAAATAAACATTGATTGATTGATTGATTGATTATAATTGGCCCTCATCAAATTCAAAAAGTATAATGAAATATGGCCCACAAATGAAACTTGTGCTTGTCATATATTGTACTTCTTAAATGTAATATATATATAAATATATATTACTCCGTAGTATTCATGTGTTAATAAGCCAATTTTTCAAATAAATTCAGTCAATTAAAGTTTAAAACAATTTCTAACAAATCTAAGTTGATAAGAAAATAGCCCAATAACTTATTTGTATAACAACTTGAAATATACCCTTCATATTTCCTCTTATTAAGCAATCTGAGGCTCCTGTTTTAAGGAATGAGCTGCCAACTAAACAAATGAAACCCTATTGAGAGCTGTGACTGTGATGGAGGCTGTTTTCTTAAAGCATATTCAAGTAACAAGCATAATTTACCTACATTTGATTGATTTAACTTACTTATAACAATGACTGTAAATTCCACATTGTTGGTCAAATAATATTTACATCTTTGTGGTGTGTGTGTGTGTGTGCTCGCGCTTTTGTGCGTGCTCTATAGTGCACTGGACATTACATTGCATTTAGCTGACGCTTTTATCCAAAGCGACTTACAATAAGTACATTCGACCAGGAAGATACAACCTTGAAGAAAA